TAAATACACAAGTCTGCCTGTAAAGTTTACCCTTAAACCTCTTTGCCAAACAGCTCTAAGCACAACACCAAGTAATATGTTTGTCTTGGGATTATTTGTTTATGACAATGACAAAATTTTATTTCACATGTATTAAACTGCTTTTTACTATTAATCACTAAAACACAGCTGTTGTTGATGGGTGCATAAAATCCATCAAAATATAGCATATTAAGTACATTTTGCTATTGAGTATTAAATATAAAGTAAAATTTAAGATAATACATTAAATTTCTTTCCATTCCATTCTGTTAGACAGACAGACTGTTTTGTCGTTTAAATTGAGACCTGCAGTGCACATAAGACCTTTTTCTTCTATTGGCTCCAATAGTGTGAATGCATGAGCTGACCGTTTTAAACTTGAGGAGAACCCAATCACCTCACTATTAAGTGACCGTGTAAACCGTGGCGGTGGTAAATAGATTGGTACAGGAAACATTTCTTATACTCAGAACATGTTATACAGTTTTCCTCATTCCCAGTTACTTTCTTTCAATGCCAGTGTGCTTTTCTATGTAACATTCACAACGGGGTTCAGTATCTCTCCTGACGATACTTCAATATGCAGACTGCAGCAGCCGGACACCGAAGCACCATCTTTCAGATTAGTGGAGGATTAGCAGATCTACCTTCTGAGCTACAGCCACCAATAAATAACTTGTGACTATTGTTATTTGACCACACCTGAAACTCAGCGTTGTGACTGTTTCATTTTGTATTTGTACAGTTGCCAAATAGTTTGACCTTACCCAGAAACAAGTTACTCCACCCAAAAAACGTGGTATTAACATTCATCTGTCACCTTCCCACTGTGGCCCGGAGTGTCTTGTCATTTTGACTGTGTTATGTTTTATATTCTTGAAGCTGTGAGCAGGAGTTCTAATGCTACATGGTGATCTAATCATACTATTTCTTCTCTAACTACTTTTGAGCATCAAAATCATGCAATATATATAAGATTTTCAGTCACAAAACCATATAACTGTCATATCTGTGACACAGAGTAACGATGAAAACCATGTTCCACTGGATGTTTTATGAGTTTTCTGACAATTTACTGGGGAAAACATGAAACTGGTTTTGGTTTTTGAAGAATCAGGATTCATAATAGGTGGCTGGTAAAACATGTAACTTTTTATTTTTATTTTTATTTTTTAATTTCAGATCATTTTTAAAATGTTTGTCTAAAATAGCCATATTTTAACAGAAATGGTGTGAAATGGATAAACAACATTTGTATCTTTGTGTTTAACTTGTGCTTGTGTTCGTTATGCATGAGACAGCATGTCCCTATTAACAATTTCACTAAAATGTAGCTTCTGGCTCATATTCAGACCATATG